GAGGCACACAACATTCAAAGAGATCTTGTACTCCTCATAACTTAAAGGACATGTTCTACAGAAGCAAACTAATTCAATAAATGTTTTCCTTCTTCAAATTGCCTTTTGACATTCATATAATATGGCCAGCATCTCCATTAGAATTCCTTATAAATGAAAACAGTGTTAAATATCATTGTGTGAAGTTAAAAATATATTAGGCCAGAATATGATTCCCACCACACAGTTGACTGATACTTCCTGCAATGTACTAGAGTTTCAGATCATCAATAACTCTCCAGTGCTCATTAAAACATTTCTAAGTCCCTCTACTCCCCAGGAAATATACAGTCTAGGTTTAGGGGAGATCCAAAGAGTCCACATTCATCCAGATCATAAACCCAGTGAAGGTATGAAGAGTTGGAAATCTTCAGAAAGTGAGTGTAGTGTGTATCTGTGAGCCAGAGACAAACAAGAGCTCTCAGGCCCTTTCTTCCTGCACCTGCCTCAGACTATGGTTTGCCTCACCTAAATATGAGTGCCTCCTACAAACATTAAAACCGTGAGATGTATAAATACTAGATGGAGAGGAACAGAGGATCTAGGTGTTAGGGCTTCAGTGGTACTAGGAGAAATGACAGGACCAAGTATACATGGCACAGAAGAGGCCAATTTCTCACTCTATCACTGACCTGCTGTGAGCTCAAGAAAAACCCACATGTTCTCTGGGTTCAGTTTTCATATTAGTAACATAAAATAGAGGGATTATATTGGAGTGTGTTGATGTGTCTTCAGATCCCAAAATGCTATGAATCTGGACCAAGCCTATCCCAAACTGTTTCTTCTCTGATCAAAATACTGTTTGCAGTCTAATTCCACAATTCAAATTATTGACTTTAAGTTTATAATAGTTTTAATTTTGTGATTTTCCCTACATGTTATTTTTTTAAATGTCAAAATAATTGAATTGCTGAATTTAATGAAGTCTACTAAAGCTAAAAGTTAGATGAGACCCATGCATTAGGCTATAAAGGCATTATATTCTCCTTTTATTCTGCATTATATTTTACACTCTCAGAAAATTAAATTTATGTTTTTAATAACTATTTTCATAGATATTCTCTTGACACAAATATAAATATTTCTTGGAGATACTATTTCAAGGTGTATGCTTTTGCCTGGATTACTGATACAGGCAAATCCCAGTGTTTCTCACAAGCACCCATTTTTTTCAAGTAGTAGAAGCATAAGCTACAATAGTTAGTGTTACTCAGGTTTTCAAAGCTGATCTTCTAAACAACTAAAGGGCACAATGTTACTCAAAGACCAAAAGTATTTAAAGCTGACACTCAAGGGGTCATGCATATACTTCTACTGCAAATATTCTGGAAGGCTCTGCTCTCTGGAATTCCCATTTCACACTGATCCAATAAAACCTGACTTTACAGATTTTCAACACGTACCATAAACCAATCCCTTCTCCTCGGCTGTTTTCCAACTCAATAATGGCATTCACATTCATTACATTTAGTGAGTCAGACTTTCCGCAGTGCCTAAGTCACTCACGACTAGTATGGCAGGTGTGTGGTGAGTGACGTTAGCTGTTTCAGGATTCTAGGAAACCATGTAAGTGTAAAGCAGCCCTGGTAATGCCCTACTGGCCTGAAAGAGTAAATGCATCTTCCCTAAAAGCCTCACATATGACTTTCTTTGCTAGAGAGAAAAGAAAGCAACACCTTTTCTCTTTTTTAATAAAAGTGAAAGCTTATAAGCAGAGAGTTTATTTAAAATATTTATGAATATAGTTGCTGTTTCCTTTTTGCATCATTATTAGATATTGTGGGACTTTAGGGCAGAAAAATAAGAAGAAACTAGTCTTCACGGTACTTGAGATTTTGTTCCTTTAAAAAAAATGCCTAGGAATAGCATTAAGGGTCTATCTTGGGCCACAAAACCCATAAATATAGAGTTGGAGATGCCACTACATCCATATTATCCCTGGTCTAGTGTGGCTTGCCCTTTTTCTTTGTTCACAGTTGCATAATCATGGAGAACACTGAGGTCAATTCAAAGTCAAGATTGCCTCCAAATGAATGTGTTGTCTATATATGATACCTGGCTCTCCTCTGAACAGACAAACACACAGGAGAAGTCCACTACAGTTCAAGTCACAAATTCACAGGCATGCAAAATAAGACACTGCAGAGTACTGGACTAGGAGGCTGATGACTAATGAGTTCTCCAATTAGAACTTGGGAGACCTACATACACACGTTGGAAAGTGAATAAAATAACCAAACTTTTAGGTCAGAAACACAAAATTTTCAAGTTCTAAGATTCAAATTGTGAAAAACTGTACTCTATGGGATTTAGGATCTGTAAATGCAAAATTTAAATGTCTCCTCCACCATATCCCCCCCCAAAGTTCAAGCCACTAGAAAGAGTTCTCTCTACAAATTTTGTTAATCTAGGTCCATTCAAAGTACCATGAGTGTGCTCCTTTCACATCTCTGTTATGAGGCTGTTGAGATGAAACCAGAGATAATAACTGTGGTTTTGTATAAAGGCCTAAGAATGCTTGATCTTCATAAGGCCTAAATCTCAGCAGAGTCTAAAACCAGATACTTTACATAATTAACACTGTGGTCTTATCTGGAGTTTTAAAGGAAAAATGGTTTTGAGTTATCTAGGGAATTGCTCCAACACAACCCCTCTTCTCTTTGTATTGACATAAAAAGAAAACTTCCGGGCACCTTTAAAACCTTTGTCATGAATACTCTTCAAGAGATTCCATAAGTGAAGTCTGATCTGAAAAACTGGCCACTTCTTTGCCACCATTCACATGGGGCTTCATCCCCATTATCACTGCTCTGTGGGCAATGGATTTTTACATGCAATTGTGTGTCTAAAAGATAGAACATTAGGTTGACCCAAAGATAGGTCTGAGGGTTCTGCCCCAAGCTGTGGGCCCAACCAAACACTCACGGACAATGCACTGGTTTCCTCCAGGGAGCGTCTTCCATCCTGGGCAGCAAAAGGAGTGGAACCTGGAGCCGCACACGTTTGGCCTGCAAGGGACAAGCACCTTGTCAGAAACGTAGGTGTAGGAACACATTTTAAATTCCTGAAATTTAGGAATGGAGGGCAGACACAGAGGTAAATGCTCTAGACGTTGGAATGGGGAGGGTCCGAAATCTCTAAAGCGTCCCTTTCATCTGTTCCCTTTTGCTTGCCTTTAAAGGGCGAAAGGAGACAGGGAAACATATAATTTGCTACTATTCTAGCCTCCGGATGTAGAGAACAAAGGGGACATTCCATTTCTAAAATCCTTTCTCTCGTTCCCAAATCCATTCTTCCTTGATCTACTGTTACTTCGGCCCGGACGTGTCAAGGAAGGCGCGTCAGAAGGTGGAGCGCTCGGGTTGATGATTAGAGAATGAGTTGTAAACCCCGCACTCGTCCTCAAACAAAAGGCTCCGGAGCGGCGCCCCCGACGGTGGGAGCAGGCAGGCTCCGCCGGCCCCAGCGCAGGGAGGACCCAAGCCCGCCTTCTGCCAGACATTCGGAACCTGTTCCAGCACCGCAGGCCTGGAACGCTCTGCGATCCGCACCTGGGGGACCCCAACTCACCCCTTGCCCAACCCCCAGAGGGAGGTCTTTCCGCTGGCCGAGCTTTGGGGTTGGGAAGGAAAAGGGGGAGGCGCTCCTGGGGGTCTTCTGGCACAGTGGAGTGAAACGCTAGCCGCCAGCACAAGATTCACTGAGGGATTGGGTAGGATGGAAAGCCGCCAAGCTGAGGATCCCAACAAACCCGCCACCCCAGGCACAAGGCCGCCTGCCCACCTACCCTCGGAGCACGTCCTGCTGTCCTCGCCTGCGGACGCGGCTCGCCGCTGAGGTGCCCTCTTCCCGGTACTCGGGTGCCACAAACCCGCCTTCGGAGCCCGCAGTAGCCGGCCGGACCTGTTGCGGCTGCGGCTGAGGCCGGAGTGGCTTAGGCGGTGGAGGCTGGGGCTGGCCGGCTGTACCCTGCGCCCAGAGCGCCACGCAGCCCAGCCACACCAAGTAGGGCTGGAGACACAACCGCCTCCGTCTCTCCATCGCCGGCGCCGAGAGCGCGCGGACCAAGGCCCGCGAAGAGCGAGCGATCAAAGACAAAATCCACGCGGGCCGTAAAAAGTCAGGGTCTAACTAAGCCCTTCGTCAGCTGCCGGGACTCCCTTGGGCTCGGGCTCCCTGCTCTTAGCGGGAGCCCGGGACCGAGCGCTGGCCCCTTGGCTGCCGGCGGCGTGGGGCACAGGACGCGGGATCTAGCGCAGTGGGCGGCGAGGCGCGGTGGCAAAGCAGCCCGCAGCCCCGCGCGGTCCACGTTGCATCCCCCGGGCCACGGCCCCGAGCGACTCCAGGACCGCCAGCGGGTGGGGGCGGGAAATTACAAAAGTAACCCGAGCAGCCGCGGGGTAAAGTTACAAAGAAAGCGGACCTCACAAGAAAAAAAAAAAGGGGGCCTGCACGTAGCGGCTCAGCGGATTCCTGTGCGCTCCGGGCACAGATCTTGGAAAGCTGCAGAAGTCACCAGAAAAAAGCAGGCAAGCAAACAAAAGTTGCCCCCAAAGAAGAGCAAGGTCTCCTCGGGGATCTCTTGGAGTCCCACGGGGCAGCGACGCGCGGGCGGCGGCTGTGGAGCCCGGCGGAGGTGCGCGGGGCCGGAGCGAGCGGCCGGAGAGAGGGCAGGAGGCTGGACGCCGGGGAAGATGCGGCGGAGGAGGGCGCGGCACGGGGGTTTTAGAGGCCCGGCGGGGCGCGGGGCGGGCCTGCGGGCGGCGGCTGTCAGTGGGGGCCGGGGCGCAGCCGTCCACACGTGGAGAGCAGCCCGAACCTAGGGGCCGGCGGCGCAGAGTGGGCGGGGACAGAGTAAAGGGGCGATCGGTTGGGGAGGAACCAGGGGAATGAAGGACTGGGGGAGGGGAAAAGGAAGGAAGGGGGGGCAGGGCAAAGGGAGGGGAGAGGATAGAGATTGGGGAAAAGGAGGGGGCGAGCCTGAGTGGAAAGCCGAGGTTGGAAGAGAAGGACTTGGAAAGCGAGGTTGGCGAGCCCGGGTGCGAGAGGAAATGAGCGGGGGATGGGGGGGGAAGGTTGGGGCGAGGAGAGAAGTGGGAAAGCGGAGCAGGGGGGGTTAGGAGGAGGGGGCTGGGGGCCGGCTGGAGGGGGCGAGGCGCTAGGCGGCTTTGCTTCCCGTCCCCCTCAATTGGCCGCTAGCTCTGTTTTGACTGCCTGTACAAAGCGACCAGACGGCGGGGGAGGGGGCGGTTAGGGACCGGATTTGGGAGAAGAGGCAGCAACCCCCTTCCCCTTCTCCTCCGCCTTAGCGGGTCCTGCGGACTGGGGATGAGGTCTCTAAGCGCTCTGATTCCTCTGGATGCACAGCCGAACTTCCCCGCCGGACACAGGCCTCAAATTTTAAGATGAGAACGGATCCTCCTGCAAAGACCAGGACCCTGACCCGAGGTCGGGGGGATTCACAGCCAGCCAGAAAAGAGGCTCGAGCTCAGTGGATTGTAGCTTTAAACTGAGAAGGCCAGGGCCTCTCCATCTCTCCTACCCCCATCACCTCACGGGGAACAGCGTCAGTCTTGTAGGACCCTCAGAGGGGCTGGGAGTTTCCAGATTGAAATGCGTCCTCGGCCGCCAAGAGGGAGCTCACGCGGCAGCGGGGGACGGTGGCTGCGCGCCGGCGCGGGTTGGCAGATTTCGCGCAGGGACGTGCTCAGGTGCGACCCCTGGCAGGCAGAGCTCTGCCGGGGTCTGCATCCAGGGAGGAGTTAGAGATCCTGAAGTTTTGTTGGGGGGATTGGAGTAGGGGCACAGCAGGTAAATAGGGCTTGGTGCCATATCCTTAGTTCCTGACTTGGACACCTTCTTATTAATGATTAAATCCTGGCAGTTGATGTAACTCCTCTGTACCTTTAGGGTGCCTCTGTGCCCGCTTGACTGTGGGGTCGTCTTTTGCGGCCTTGCTTTCATCAGGTCTTTTTGAAGACCTTGTCATCTCTCAATCAATTGAATTTCATAACTGGAAAAAATGAACACCCTTGAAGACTAGGAATGAACATCTGAACGCAGTTTGGGAAATGGTGCAGAACGATGTCTGGATTATTCTACCCTAGAGAACCTTACATTAAAAGGGAAAAAAAGCATATGTGTATGATTTTATATATATAAAACCTATATATGCGTATATATTAATTCTGTATTCTCCCAAATTGCCCAGATGTGCTATTTGACAGTCAAACTTCTCTGAGAATTGGCACAACTCATTCCTTTATTACCCCAATGTATCAGCAAAAGACTCAAAGCCTTTCTTAACATTAGTCTCCAAAAGCCAAAAAAAAAAAGTACATAATTTCAGGTGGTGCATTTATTTCTTAAAATCAAATAAAATTAGAGCAATAAGGGTATTTTTCTTTAAACATTTTAGCAGTAAACTATCTCTTGGGTTAAAGCACCTAAAATGCTTTAACAATAATGGTTTGAAACATCCTGTCTGTGATTTTTCATTTAATACCTAAATAACTTCATGGTTCATTTCTACCTATCACGTTAAATCTAATGTTCTAAAATCAAATACACCTTAACCCTTTGACCTAGCAATAACAGTTTTAGGAATACACATGAAAATAAGTGAGAAAAACATGAAATGATGGATGCATTAGTGTGATTATTACAGCATTGTTTACAGTAGGAGAAGACTAAAGACAAACATTCCATCAGTAAGGAAACCATTGAATATGGTTTAGTCCATTCTATGGAACACCTTACAACTATGAAAAAAATGAATGGGTGAGACTCTTATGCGTTTATGAAATGATTTTTAGCGTAGACAATTTAAAAAAATAGGTGCTGAAATTCATTGAGTCAGTAGAATAAAGTTTAACAGGTGCTAGAGGAGAAAAGGGTGAGTTGTTATTTTAGGGGCAGAGTTTCTGTTTAGGATGATGAAAAAGTTCTGGAAATGGATAGTGGTAGTGGTTGCATGATAATGTGGATATGTTTAATGCTGCTGAGTTATATACTTAGCATGGTTAAAATGGTGAATTTTCTGTTTTGTGGGGTTTTTTTCAACTTTTAAATGCAAAGTGTAGAATTTTGTATATATTATGTTATCGTGTTAAGCATTTTTTAATGAGAAGTATAAACCAAATATAGTAATAATGGTTAATCTGTAGGAAAAGAAGAGAACATGGTAAGAGACAATAAGGGAAGTTAGAAGCCCTTCTAAATATTTATAGTTTTATAGTTCTAACTTTGAAACCGTGTGTATATTTTATATACTTAAAAAAGAATATTTAATGTTAAAAGAACAATGCTGAACTGAAATAAAAATATAACAAATGAAACTGTCACATTGATAGAATAGCCATAGAATAAATAATTACTCAAAATGACATTTAAACATGATATTTGGACTAGACATCTTTGGTGAAATGTAACTTAAGAATGAAAGAACACAAAAAAATCTGAAATTGCTTTCAGTGGTAGTAATGAATGTAGGAAAGAGAGAAAGAAAAAGCAAATATAGAATTGTGTTGATGTCATTACAATGATTTCAGAATAAGAAAGATTAAATATAAAGCAAAAATAAAAACTTTTAAAATTTAAATTGAATTAAAATGCCAATTTAACTTTTATCTCTATTTTTTAAGTGCATTTCTTAACTCTGTCTACTGAAAAATCCAGAAGCACTGACAACACAATAGCCAAAAACACCAACTGTTACCAGATTATGGCTCCTAAAGACCATTTCCAGGTAAAAGGAATTGGGGCACCTTGGGTAAATGACTGATTCCAGCCAGGTCTGGAATAGGAATGTTTGAGGTGAGTCTGGCCTATCTTGTCATGCCTGAAATCAAGGAAATTATCAGACTGTTAGGGCCGCATTTAAAGGAAACCAAAGCTAACTTGAAAGAGATCACTTTGTCTAAAGATGAGGAAACTTGAACATCAACACAGATGACTGCAAAGGATTGAAATTGAAATATGTGATTCGTGTAAATATTCAATATTTCCAAATGATATTTCAGTGAATTGGTCTCCTGTGGAGGTTGTTGAGGTACAACACATGAAATTTAAAACACTGACAAATAAAACAATCAAACAATTATTCTGCCTTTACTGGAAAGACTCATAGAAAGTATTTTTGGAAAAAAAAAATCAGACTGTAAAGTCAGGAAAGATAAAAGTAGGGGGGAAAATCACTTCTTTACCAACCCTACTCGACATAATAAACTCATAAACAAATTCAGCAAAGTAGCAGGATTTAAAATCACTAGGTCAGAGATTCTTTTGTGTGTGTGTATGTGTGTGTGTGTGTGTGTGTGTGTGTGTGTGTGTATAGTCAGTGGACCTTTATTTTATTTATTTATTTCTATGTGGTGCTGAAAATCATGCCAGACAAGTGCTCTACCACTGAGCCACAACCCCAACCCTAGGTCAGAGATTCTTAGTGGTGGTGAATTTCTCCCCATGGACAGTTGGTGCTATTCATCCAGAGGCATTTTTTTTATTGTCATAAGACAATTCTAATAGAGTGGTGAGAATATGAGGAATGCTTGTAAACATCCTCTAATGCACAGGGCAGTCTCCCATTACAAAGTACTACCAATATCAGTTCTAAAATAGCAATTTCTTTAAGAAGTGGTGAATTATGTGAAAAGTCTTTGGGGAACGTTTTAGTGAATAATTGAAACTATTATCACCAGAACCTATTGATAAATTAGTAACTTCTGAAAAGGAACAAGACCAAATTCAGCATCCATTCATGCTCAAAATACTGGAAAAACTAGGGATAGTAGGAACATACCTCAACATTTAAAAAGCTATTATGCTAAACCCAAGGCTACATCATTCTAAGTGGAGAAAAACTCAAAGCATTCCCTCTAAGATGGGACAAGACAGGGACATCCTTTTTCACCACTACTATTCAGCATAGTCCTTGAAACCCTAGTCAGAGCAACCAGACAAAAGAAAGAAATTAAAGCTATATGAGTAGGAAAAAAAGAGTTCAAACTCTCTTTATTTGCTGATGACATGATTCTTTATTTAGAAGAACTAAAAAACTCTACTAGAAAGCTCCTAGAACTCATAAACAAATTCAGCAAAGTAGCAGGATTTTAAAATCAATACCAATAAATCAATTGCATGTCTATACACCAAGTATATATCAGCAGAAAGGGAAATCAGGAAAACTATCCCTTTCACAGTATCCTCAAAAAAAGAAAATATTGGAAATCAACCCAATAAAAGAGGTGAAAGACCTCTATAAGGAAAACAGAACACTAAAGAAAGAAATTGAAGAAGATCTCAGAAAATGGAAATATCTTTCATGTTCCTGGATAGACAGGATCAATATTATCAAAATGACCTTACTACTAAAAGCATTATACAGATTTAATGTAATTCCTATAAAGATCCCAATGACATTCTTCACAGAAATAGAAAAAGCAATCATGAAATTCATTTGGAAAAGTAAGAGGCCTAGAATAGCCAAAGTAATCCTTAGCATGAAAAGTGATGCAGGAGGTATCACAATACCAAACTTTAAATTATACTACAGAGCTATAGTAACAAAAACAGCGTGGTATTGGCAACAAATGAACATGAAGATTAATGGAACACAATAAAAGACACAGAGACATATCCACATAAATACAGTTATCTCATTCTAAACAAAGACACCATAAATGTATATTGGAGGACAGGTAGCCTCTTCAACAAATGGTGCTGGGAAAACTGTAAATCTATGTGTAATAGAATGAAATTGAGCACTTACATCTCACTCTGCACAAAACTCAACTCTAAGTGGATTAAAGACCTAGGCATCAAACCAGAGACCCTGTACTTACTAGAAGAAAAAGTAGGCTCAACTCTCATATCAACATGTCAGCTTGGGAACCAAATTCCTCAACAAGACTTCTAAAATACAAGAAGTAAAATAAAGAATCAATAAATAGGATGGTATCAAACTGAAAAGCTTCTTCACAGCTAAGGAAAAAATCAAGAATGTGTACAGAGATCCTACAGATTGGGAGAAAATCTTAACCTTCAGTACTTCAGATGAAACATCAATTTCCAGGATATACAAAGAACTCAAAAAACTTAACACCAGAAAAATAAATAACCCAATCAATAAATGGACAAAAGAACTGAACAAGCACTTCACAGAAGAATATACACAATTGATCAACAAGTATGTGAAAAAAAGTTCAACATCTCTAGCAATTAGAGAAATGCAAATTAAAACTACTCTGAGATTCCATCTCACTCCAGTCAGAATGGCAGTTATAAAGAATACAAGTAACAGTAAATGTTGGCTAAGATCTGGGGAGAAAGATATTCTCATATACTGTTGGTGGGACTACAAATTGGTGCAATCATTATGGAAAGCAATAAGGAGCTGCCTTAGAAAACTTGAAATGGAATTGTCATTTGATCCAGTTATCCCCGTCCTCAATTTATACTCAAAAGACTTAAAAACAGTATAATACAGTGACGCAGCCACATCCATGTTTATAGCATTTCAACTCACAAACTATGGAAACAACCTAGATGAATGGATAAATAAAATGTGGTATATATACACAATGGAATATTAATCAGCCATAAAGAAAAATAAAATTATGGCATTTGCCAGTAAATGGATGGAGCTGAAGAATATAATGTTAAATGAAATAATCTCCAAAACCAAAGGCTGAATTTTTTTTCTGATTTGTGGATGCTAACCCAAAATAAGGTGGGATGGGGAGGGAAATAGTAGAAATCCATTAGTATAGACAAAGGGAAGTGAAGGGAAGGGAGGTGGGATAGGAGTAGGAAAGACAGTAGAATTAATTGGACATAACTTTCCTAGCCTTGTATTTGTTGTATACACAACCAGGGTAATTCCACATGATATTTAAGAATGGGATCTTAAATAGAATAAGTTATATTTTATGTACATGTATTCTGCCAAAATACATTCTATTGTCATTTATAACTAAAAATAAAAATATTTTTAAAAATTTGCTACATATGGATTTTCAGTTTTAATAGCATCATTTTTGAATAGGTTATCTTTTCTCCAGTGAATGTTTTTGGCACCTTTGTCTAGTATGAGATAATTGTATTTGTGTGGGTTTGTCTCTGTGTCTTCTATTCTGTACCATTGATCTATGTGTCTGTTTTGGTGCCAATGGATAAAGAAAATGTGGTATATAGATTCAATGGGATATTACTTGGCTTTAAAGAAGAATGAAATTATGGCATTTGCAGGTAAATGGCTGGAGTTGGAGAATACCATGCTAAGCAAAATAAGCCAGGAAACCAAAGGCCGAATGTTTTCTCTAATATGTAGATGCTAATTACAAATAAAGGGGACACTAGGGAAGAATAGCATTATCTTAAATTAGGTAGAGGGGAGTAAAAGGTGGGGAGGGGATAAGATATGGGGATTGGCTTAGCATCACATGACCAATGTGATTGATTCTACAACATGTACACTCAGAAAAATGAGAAATTATACCCCATCTGTGTATGATATATAAAAGGGCATAAATGCATTCTACTGTCATGTGTAATTAAAATAAATAAAATTTTTAAAAAAATATAATTTTTTAAATGTTCAAATTTAACATTAAAAAGAGGAATAAAACCAGACATTATGTATCTATGATGTGGTGCAACAGTAGGGATATGGAACCATCTATGAATTATCTCTAACAAAACAGTTGAACCTGAATGTAATAACACCTCTACATTTTAATTCCAGTTTAGGAACTATGGTAAGGAGGGATCATAAATCTAGTCAACCAGATTTAGAATGTGGGATATATCACAAGACCAGGTTTCTTCAAATAAGTGACAGGAGTAGAGGAAAGGGAGAGAATTGTTTTGGCTGACAACCCCCAAATGTTTGTATCTTATCTGGAATTTTGATATGAACATAGCAAGTATAAAATGGCATTTTAATGTGACCAGGAGGAGATTAAAGGATAATCATTAGGTATTAAAGTTTTGTTTTTAATTTTTGAGGGTAAAATGATATGGTTTTATTTTAAAATAATATACCTACTAACATTATATCCACTAAAGTTTTTATGGACGAAATATGAGAACTGGATTTGATTTAAATAGTGAAAGAAAAACAAAGGCTGGGATCTGAAAAGATGGATTAGATGAACTTTTCCTTATAACTCTTGCTAAATATACTTAGGTAAAACCTTAGAGAAAGAAGACAATTAACATACATAGGAAGACACTCAATGGTGGCAAGAAGAAGAAAAACTGACAGTGATCTTGGAACCCAAGGAACAACAGGGCAGTGAGTACCTTCTATATCCCTAACTAGGTGCTGATACAGTTTATAGAAACTCCGAAGAAAAGTCTCCTATCTCCAGCACAAGGACAAGAAAGGGGAGCCTCACAAGACAGGAAAGTTTTAGATAATAAGTGCTGTACAGACAGTCGGACACCACAGAGAGAACTGGGTCACCCCCACCAGCAAAGGCCAAGTGGGGAGCCTAGACTTTCAACCGCACTGGGCTGTAACAAGGTGCCCCTCATCTTCAAATGAGAGCTCAGATTTTCATCTCTGCTGCACAATAACGAGCCACTCCTTCCCCAGGATGTCAGTGGAGAACATGGACTTCCACTCCATGGTAATCAGGTTCATATATTTATCTCTGTATGAGGGGATTTAATGGAGGAGTGACTCACAGGATCACAGAGGCTGAAAATCACATTAGACTGTCTGCAAGCTGGAGAGCCAAAGAA